GCATTCCCCTCCCTGGGCTGTTGGAGCATTTAGGCCTCAGCTTCTCCGCATTCCTTCCTCCCTTCTACCCCAGTACATTGTGAAATGCCACGGCAGCACACTGCTGCCCCAGTTCCTGGGGATGTACCGGGTCAGCGTGGACAACGAGGACAGCTACATGCTCGTGATGCGTAACATGTTTAGCCACCGTCTTCCTGTGCATAGGAAGTATGACCTCAAGGTAAGGAGAGGCCAGCTAGGGCTGAGGGAGAGGCTCCTGCTGGCCCAAGAGTGGGGAAGGGCCTGGGAGGGCACTTAGACAGTTCATTTCAAAGGAAAGAAGACTGTGGGTACTCATCTTTGGAGCTGGGTCCTAACTATTCTTTTAGCCACTTGTGCTGACTTGGTCTTTGGGTCTCTCCACAGGGCTCCCTAGTATCCCGAGAAGCCAGCGATAAGGAAAAGGTGATACTGATATTAAGTGATAGGGTGAGGGGTGAGGGCGGGCAGATGAAGGGATCTCCTTAGGATAGAGGTAGGGGTCACCAGCTATTTGTTCTTATCTGAAACCACCGAAGGGAAGAGAGGTGTGGACTGGTGCTAAGCCAGGGGTCAGCTGCTGTCTCACTGGTGTAGGTTGTCCCATCTGGAAGGTTCGATGATGGTTGAAGATGACAGACTTCAAGAGAGAAATGCTTACCCTCTAGCTCCCACTCTGGGTTCTTGTATTTAAGCAGCTGCTTTTGCTTAAGAAAAAGAAAGAAAAGTCAGCATGAGGGGTCTTGACTGAAGACCATAAGCAGAAGGTGGTGGGATGTGATGTGGAGTACCATGGCAGTGACTGAGTTTGGAGAAGCTGCTAGAGCTGAGAACAGCCTCTGGGGCAGTGTGGAGGCAGAGAGGGGCTGGAAGAGCTCTCACCCCTCGAGGCCACTGAGTTAGGCATAGAGCCCCAGAGAGAGCATTGTTCTCTGAGATCTTGGGGGAAGGGATGTGTTCCTAAGATGTCCCTTTACTTTCAGGTTAAAGAACTGCCCACCCTTAAGGATATGGATTTTCTCAACAAGAACCAGAAGGTTTATATTGGTGAAGAGGAGAAGAAAGTATTTCTGGAGAAGCTAAAGAGAGATGTGGAGGTGATGATCAGAGTGCTTGGGAAACAGGGTGTTCCTTTTGCTCCCCATTCCTAGTCTGAGGGAACTGCTCCCCTTCCCTTTATTCTTTGGGTTCTCTGCAGGTAGGGGAGTTGGGTATGGGACATGAAAAACCCTTAGAGGTGACCCATGGAGGGAGTGGCTAGAATCAGCTAAAAGGATGACCTCAGATACCAGGACATCGATGTACTAAAGGACAGTGGTTCCCTTCCAACCCTCAATTGCATCCTTCCTTTCCCCAGGAGGGCCCCAGAAACTCAGGAGTGGAGGCATAGGGTGGTGCTTGGGAGTGGGGAAGGAGGTCTGAGGGATCTGATTTGTCAGTGGGGTCTCAGTTCCTAGTGCAGCTGAAGATAATGGACTACAGCCTTCTGCTGGGCATCCACGACATCATTCGGGGCTCTGACCCAGAGGAGGAGGGGCCTGTGCGGGAGGAGGAGTCGGAGGGGGATGGGGACTGTGGCCTGACAGGACCACCTGCCTTGGTGGGCTCCTATGGCACCTCCCCTGAGGGTATCGGCGGCTACATCCATTCTCATCGGCCCCTGGGCCCTGGAGAGTTTGAGTCCTTCATTGACGTCTACGCCATCCGGAGTGCTGAGGGTGAGAGAGATCTTGGGAATATTAATGGTGTTGGTGGGGGGCAAGGGTTGGCCGTGGGGGACTGAGATCAGGGTGGTGGAAGAGAGTCTGGTTAGCTTTTCAAACCAGATCTGACTGGTTCTTGGGGAATGGGAATTGGGACTGTACTTGCTCTTCATTGCTCGTTTCTGTCCCCAGGGGCCCCCCAGAAGGAGGTGTATTTCATGGGCCTCATCGACATCCTGACACAGTATGATGCCAAGAAGAAAGCAGCTCATGCAGCCAAAACTGTCAAGCATGGGGTGAGGGTTCCCCAAAGCCTCTCCTTTCCTGTCTTTTGACTCTTGGGGAACAGGGAGCCCTCTGTGCCAGAGCAGTGGGGTGGCAAAAGCACGAAGGGCCGGTTATGGAAGTGGTGTGTAGTGGAATGGGGGGGGGCAGGGAGGGGAGGGGTGATCTGACATGGTGTTCCATACCTCCTCTCACAGGCTGGGGCAGAGATCTCCACTGTCCATCCTGAGCAGTATGCTAAGCGATTCCTGGATTTTATTACCAACATCTTCGCTTAAGAGACTGCCTGACTCTGTGCTGACTGATGCTTTCTGTTCAAGGTGGCAAGGTTCTGAGAGCCTTGGGGGAATTGTGGATATGCTGACCACTACTTCTTCTTTTCCCCCTTTGTAAAGTCCCAGCTACAGGCTCCCTGCATCCAGATCACTCCATCTTGTCGAGCAGGCTCTCCTGACCCTCAGAAATACATTATCCTGTCTCCCCCTGTATGGTTTTCTTCCTTTTCTCCCTCCCCTCCAACCATTCTCCTTGCTTTATTAGAGTGTTACTATTGACTCACTCCCAAGTGCCTTGATCTTTGTAAATGTCCTGTTGCTTCTAGAACATAGGAGGAGACAGGGGCAGGGGGTTACTTGCCGTCTTCAGGACCTGACTGCACGAATGGATCTGGCTCAGGCAGCTACTCCAGATGCGCTCTGCTGTGTGCGATGAACTGGGAGGGCCTGAGTTTTGCTGATAACTTTACAGACCTCACTGTGGCCTGCTTCCTTCCCAGTAGGCCCTGGGATGGAGGACCTCCAAGATAGTACAGCTGTGGGTGCTGGCATGCAAACATGTGATGGGATATGGCCCATCTTACACACTACTGGGGTGGGGAGGGGCGAATTGGCTGACACTTCACAGAGGTGGGACCCAGGAGGACACTTGAAATTATGCAGGGAATGGGAAAAGGTGCCTGTGAAGAACTGACTACTCTCCAGTCTCTTCCCTCACCCTCCGTTCAGCCCCCACCCCCGTACTGGGCACAGGAGCCCAGAGATGGCCAATGTGTTCAAGCCTGGGTGAAGACATTTGACTGTTGCTGCTCTTTGCCAGGACCTCATACCCATCTTGGGGCTGGAACCCTTCAGTGGGGGTGTGGGCAGTTTTGGAGGCTGGGATGATGGGCCAGGGTACAAGGTCCATCCCAGTGCTAAATTTCCTCTCTTCATGTCTAGCCATCCCTGAGGTTTTATTCCCAGCGGAAGGGAATCTCTCTCTGTGGGTCATTCCTGGTCATCTCAAGAGGATGAAGGACTTAAGTTTGGGACCCTCCTCTCCTCTACTTCTTGGAGGTGTGCACCTAGCATACTGCCTTCGCAGGCCCTTCGCAGACCCTTTTTTCTAGTTGGATCTTGTTATTCTGTTCTTTTCTGTCTCATCTCTGCAACTGTGTCTCCAGGGGACAGATGGACTTCTTTGTCATCTTCACTCTCCACCCCCAGAGAGGAGTCAAAGCCATAACTCAATCACCCAGCCCCTTCCAAAGAATTGAAGTGCCATGTGATAGTCTCAGAATGTAGAGGACTCTGATGACCCAGATAGTGTCCTCCCCATCCTCTGATGCCTCTGGGGCCAAGGCAACCATTCTTGCTACTCTCTATCCCCTCTATGGCTTCCACACTTTATTTTATTTTAACATAAAGATGAGCACTAGCAACTGGCCTGTGGGGATGCAAGGATTCTTTGTATCTAGGTGGACTGATCTGTCTCACAAGAAGTCATATAGTCATAAAGGAGAATTCCTCTCTCCTCTCCCATCTTTTGCTCCAAAGGAAGTAACAAGAGGAGTCCACAGTTAAGGATTAGAGCCCCTATAATATCTTCCTATCAGAGGCCTGCTCATCTTTTTCATTCCAACCGTCTACCTTTCCCCTGTTGAATGCAATAAAACTCCATGACACCAGCAGCTGTCGTTCTTTAGAAATTGGTTTTCTGACCATGTGGCTGATGTATCATGAGCAGTATGGTCTTCATTTTGTTGCTTCTGTTTTCCTCTTTTTTGTTTTATTAATTAATAAAGATCTTGTGTATTTACTCCCACTGCTGTCACTATATAGGAAATAAGTTATTGAACCCACATTCCTTCACAGACATGCCTCCCCCCACCCCCTTTCTGAGGAACCCTGTGCTTACGGGTGTGGAGACCAGATCTGACCTTTAAGATGTTGGACCCCTAACTAAGAATGTGGGTTTCTAGATAGATAGCTGTGAACTTAAAAGGTTGTGAGGGGTGTGCATGGGAATGGAGAACTTACCCCCAGTTTTGTGGGAGTTCAGCTGTTGGGGGGCCATGGAGAACAGCTGATGTGATGCTCCCCTCTCCCCCAGGGTTCTGGGCTTGGTCACACACCCATTCCTGTAAAGGTGACTGAACCTCTCAGAGCACACTGGCAGGAGCTAAAAGAAGGAACTGGGTGTTTCCCCAGGCTTCCTGGGAAAGATGTCTTCTGTCTGGAGAGCAGGAAGAGTACAGCAGGGTCCTGGGAAAGTGAAGAAAGAGACCAACCCTCCAGCCCAGAGTTGGGGGGAGGGGAGCAGAGAAAGGGATGGATGAACAGAAGTTGTTGCCAGCCTGGGAGATCCAGTACAGTTTGGCCGAGGAGGTCTTCTGGCTGGTGGAAAAACCTGGCTTGATGTGGCCCCAGGGAAGCGAATTGGACTGGGGGCGGAGATTTCTGTGATGTGGGAAGCAGAACAGTGCAGAGCCGCTTTTAATTTGAGTTTTTAACTCTATTGGAACCATAGACTTAATACCCCCAGCCCCCACCCCAAGGCGTTTTTTTGAAAGATGCATTCACTTCGCACTTTGCAATAGCCTAATGAGGCTATCCCTGTTGGTGGAAACAGAAGTCAGAGGCACTTAGCAACACCCATCTGGGAGCGGGTTGTGGGGGTCACAGAAGGTAACAATCTAGGAATAGGCAAGCAAGGAGGGAAGGGATTGAAATAGTTTAGTCCTGGGGTATGTTTATTTTTTAGAACCAGTGTTTTTCTTACTATGACTCTTCTTCCCATCCCAAATTATTCCTCAAAGGTCCTTCTAGCAATAGCATAAGGATCACAAAAAAATTGTCCCCTTCCCCACCTACCTAAACCGACACTCCTCGCCCACCCATCCACCACCAGCTTGCAGAAGCTGCCACGCAGCTGGCTGGAAAAGCAAAGGGAGAGGGCCCCTCCCGGGAGGGGGAAGCGAAAAGGGTGGCGTCTCTAAGAGATTTAACCTCCTACCCTCGGTTCCACACGCCACCCCCTCCCTCCAAAGACTGGGAGGGCGCCTCCATTTTTGTTTTGGGGCGGAAGGGCAGGGGCTCGTGGATGGAAGGGGGTCAAGGGAAACGGTGATTATCACCTGTACGGGGCAAACGGGTGCCGTTCTTCTACCCTTTCTCTCAATCTGCACCCCCTCTGCAAACTGCCCCCCCACCTTCTCGGGGTCTCCCCCCCCCCCTTGTTGCTAAGGCCCAGACCGTCATCCCAGCAACAGCCTCAGTCATGTGACCGGCAATGGCGGCGCTGACGGGAGGTAGGTGAGCCCGGCGCCCCCCACACCCACCGCGTGCCCCCCCGGACCCCGCTCGTACCCCTCGCGCGCCCTCCCTGCCCCCCTGCGCCCCCTCCTCCGCCTCCTTACCTGCGCGCGGCGCCGGGGACCCCCTCCACGCCTGGGCGATTCTCTTCCTATCACCCTCCTGCCTTGGCCTCCATTTGGGGGTTCTGGGGACCGCGATCGGCCGACATGCACCCCCACCCAGTGGTGGGGCTCTGGGGGCTCCGGCGAGAGGGGGACGTGGGGATTGGTTCTGGATCTTGCAGGAGGTCATGGGGGATGGGTGGGGCTGACTCAGTTGATGCCCCCAGAGACCCACGCCCTTACCGGCTGCCCCCGTCTGGCCTCTGTCTGGAGGGAGGGACTGGCCCCGTGTCCGGCCTGGGTTGCCCCAGAGGAATCAGAGACCCAGCATAAGCTGTGGCCCCGCCTCCCTCTTCTGTGCCAGCAGGACTTGAGGCTAAGGACATCTAGGTCCTGGGTTCCCTCTGATGGAGAGGGGGTGTTCCACCTTGGATAGACAGAATGAGCTGAGGTTCTAGGATTTCGTTTCACTTTCTGAATCTAGAGGTGCATCTGGCCTTGAGGGGACTATGATGGAGGCACAAACAGAGAGCCGCTCCTCTTTGGATCAGTCAAGGAATTGAGGTCACACTAATGGCCCCTCTTTCTATTTGAGCTACATTTGGAGGTGTTGTAGGGAAAGCTCTATAGCTGAACATGGTAAGATTCAGGGGAAACAAGTCTCCTCCAGCTGAGCCCCTGCTGAGCCCCACCCCTCCCTAAATGCAGACTGACTTGCTGACAGGCTTACTGCTTGCTCCCGGGCAGGGTTTAAAAAGGTGACCGGAAGTTATTTAGGGGCTGCGGCCACTTTGTTCGCATTCCAAACAGACTTCAGCAGAAGGGACTGGGTTAGCTCTCAAAGAAGGCTCCCTAGCAATAGGGGCTGAATTATTTGGGAATATGAGGTAGGATGAGGAGTTGGGGATCATAGGGAAAAGTCTTACTCATGTGATCTGAGGGAGGTGGCTAGAAAGACCTCTATCTGTGTGGGCTTTTCCCTTCCTGACTTCTCTTATCTGTGCCCTAGGCTTTCTTGAGAGCCTCAGAGCTGGGGAAGAAAAGAGGAAAGTTAGCATGTTGAAGTTCCCTTATTAACAACTTGGGAGTGGCTGGGGAGGCAGTTCTACAGAAGAGGAGAGGAAATGGAAGAGGAGCTTTTGTTTTGTTTCTGGCCTGCTGGTGGAGTGGGGCTGAGGGGGGTATGGTAACATTTCTTATCAGGAGCCTCTACTTCCCTTCCCCTTGCCCCTAGTCCTGGTCAGCTGAGTGTGGAACTAGAGGGATTTCTGCTGCTCTCGTTGTCCATGGGCTTTCCAGGTATCTGCCTCCCAAGGGAAACTCAGCTTTCGCCTTTAAATTGGTTTCCTCCATTCCATGTGCCAAGTAATCCCATTCCCAGTAACTTACACCCAGGTTCCCAGTCTTCTGTTACATGGGCTGCTGGGCTGGGGCATGTGGGAAGGGGGTACAGGTTTCTCACTTTCCCTCCTTTTCCTTTCCACCCACCAGGTCACACAACCTACAAGTAGGGAGCAGGGACAGTGAGAGAGAGCCTGCATGCCAATTCTAAGCTCTTCAGGATCAAAGTGAGCAAAAGTTCTCCCTTCCCTTTAAAGAAGCCAGTTTTCACCCAGAGGGAGGAGGGCCGGATGGTTTCTGTGATCTTGGGAGGAGTGTAAAGAGAACCAAGACTGGTGCTTGGCTCAGATGATGATAGTAATAAAGTTATAGAAACTTTCTTGCTCTTCAGTGGGTGCTGGGTTTTGAAAGCTAAGAGGAGACAGAAAATGAGCTTGGGGAGGAGTTGGGGGTTGGACTTGAAGATAGTAGAGGTAATAGAGGGTTGGAAAGGAACCTGAAGTAGGAGGCACTGATTTTGTCAAATGGGGACCCCCCACCCTGAGTCCCTTTCACCCTGGGGGCAGTGTCGTTCGTCCTGTCCAGAATGGCAGCCTGTGGAGGCACCTGCAAGAACAAAGTGACCGTCTCCAAGCCTGTGTGGGACTTCCTGAGCAAGGAGACCCCAGCCCGGCTGGCCCGGCTTCGGGAGGAGCACCGTGTGTCAATCCTCATAGATGGCGAGACCTCTGACATCTATGTCCTCCAGCTTTCCCCGCAGGGCCCTCCCCCAGCCCCTCCCAATGGGCTCTACCTGGCCCGGAAGGCTCTCAAGGGGCTGCTAAAAGAGGCCGAGAAAGAGCTGAAGAAAGCTCAGAGGCAGGGCGAGCTTATGGGCTGCCTGGCTTTGGGGGGTGGCGGGGAGCACCCTGAGTTGCACCGCCCAGGGCCCCCCCCCTCCCCCTCTGCGAGCAGCCCCCCTTCTGCCCCCGGGGGCTCGGGGGCTTCCTCCCCCTCCTCCTCCCCTCCCTCCTCCCCTTCCTCCCCGCCTTCGGGAGGAGGCTGAAGAACAGGAGAGCACCTGCCCCATCTGTCTGGGGGAGATCCAGAATGCCAAGACATTGGAGAAGTGCCGGCACTCATTCTGTGAGGGCTGCATCACCCGGGCCCTGCAGGTGAAAAAGGCCTGTCCCATGTGTGGCCGCTTCTATGGGCAGCTGGTGGGCAACCAGCCGCAGAATGGGAGGATGCTGGTCTCTAAGGACGCCACACTCCTGCTGCCCAGCTATGAGAAGTACGGCACCATCGTCATCCAGTACGTCTTCCCGCCCGGTGTCCAGGGGGTAAGAAGACTTGCGGCCTGCCTTTGCCCTCTGGTTTCCTCCACTTTGGCCCCCCCACCCCCGCCCTGCCCCGAGTGTGTTCTCTGACCTAGGGAAACTGGGTGAACGGGAGTGTGTTTGTTAGACGCGAGGGAGTCTTGCTGGCTCTCAGTATGCCCTCCCACTCAGGGCCCCCGAGCTAGGAGGTCCCCTTCAGGCCCAGCTTTCCTGTCCCACGACTCCAAGGCACACGGGAAAATCAGGTGTGAGAGAAAGGAATTGCATACTATTTCCGTGGTGAACTTGGATGTCGACAACTATTCCTGGCGGCGGTGAGGTCTGTGGAGGGGGTGGCTCGGGGCAGGCAGGCACAGCAGGAAGGGATCCGACCCTCCTCACAGAGCACTGAGTGTTACTTCGGTCCAGATTGATGAGAGGAAAACCTTGATGACAGTGGAAGGTTAAAACAGGAGAGGTCAAGGGCCTATCCAGTGTCTTCCAGTTTGAGGAAGCAAGAGTAATTTTCGGTCCTGGTTTGCAGAGGGCCGGGGAAGCTCTGAAGAAGAGTAATGGGAAAGTGGAACAGGTTAGGCAGGCCGAGAAACACTGGGAGCGTTTTCAGGTGGAGAAGGGAAGGCTGGAAGATAGATTATTCTCAGTCTTCACGTTTCTGCTGAGTTATCTGGTGAGTAAGGACCAGCTACTTTCCATCACTTTTAAGAATCCATTCGCTGCTGCATTGAGGCTTGAAGGATTGAGGCAGCAGAAAAAAACTTCTTTAACTGTAAGGATTTTGTCCAAAAGCAGGCTCCTGCTGTCCAAACCCTTCAAAGAAGCCTCGATTTCCTTGAGAGGCCAGTCAGCCTGTTGCTGCCCCATCAGCATCCTCAAGGGATGCGCAGACAGACAACTGGCCAGCGGGACCCTCCACGGGCATCATGGGCCTTCAGATGCCCAGCTGCTCACTGTCCTCTCTCCTTCCCCCTCCTCCCAGGCTGAACACCCAAACCCAGGAGTTCGGTATCCTGGCACCACAAGGGTGGCCTACCTCCCGGACTGCCCTGAGGGCAACAAGGTGCTGACCCTGTTCCGCAAAGCATTTGACCAGCGTCTCACCTTCACTATCGGCACGTCCATGACCACAGGGAGACCGAATGTCATCACCTGGAACGACATCCACCACAAGACCAGCTGCACAGGGGGACCCCAGCTGTGCGACCCTCCTTCATTTCCTTTCCCTTGGCCCCTCCCCTTCTCTCCATTTCCAGTATTCCCCTCTCTCTGTGGGAACTTCCTCACTGCAGAGGACCACCCCCAAACTATTCAACCGCCTCTTCCATCCCAGTTTCTCTACATTCAGCCTGGTCCAGTATGCCCAGCTTAACCTACAAAAATAAGGAGAACTGGGCTAAGTTATCTCTCGTTTGGATATCCTTAGGGGCGGTGAGGAGGGGCTGGAATGGGGCACCCAGAATGAGGGTGAGCTTGAGGCTAATAGGAGTAAGCTGCAATAGCTAATTCTTCATTCCTTTTTGCTCCCAGGTTTGGGTACCCGGACCCCACCTACCTGACCCGGGTGCAAGAAGAGCTGAGAGCCAAGGGTATCACAGATGACTGAAGGACATCCCCTTTGCCAAGCCCTTGTCTTTCTCCATAGGACCCAGCGGAAGCCTCTGTTCTCCTCCCTCTGCCCCCCACACCACACAAACAGGGGATCAGTATGACTTGGGGAAGGAGTTCAGAGAGGGAGGGGGCAATCCCTTACCCTGTCCCCCACAGGCCAAGTGCTTCAGTGCAGTGAGCCACTCCCTTCTAGCGGAGGGATCTCCCAGGCTCTTCTCCCCTCCTCCCCCTGTACATACTCCCAATTTCCCTACCCCCTCCATTGCCCTTGGCTTTTTCTGGTATGTGCTGTGCTCCAGTGACTAAGCTGAGAAAGGACCTGGGTGGGGAAGGAGGGTCTCTTGAGCCCCTGCCCCCACAGACTGCTCCACTGCTGAACTTAGCTGTAGGGGAAGAGGAATGGGGCCGAGATGTGCCCCCGAGAAGCCAGGCCTTGTGTGTTCTTCAGAAACGATCCCCCTTCTACCTTAACCTTGTCCTTTCTCTCCTGTGTCTCCCTCTCTGTCCGTCTGTCTCCCCGCTCTTCTCTGCCCCCTATAAGGAGCCTCCTTACCCTGTTCTGGAATCGCCGCCAGACTGTAGCTTTTAATTTAATAAAAATAAAGTAAAATATGCAACTCTCTGCCACACCCGCTCTGTTCTGTGGACCAGGGTGGGGGTGGGGTGGGGAGCGGAACCTGCTGAGAAGGGGAAGGGGGTGGCGATCGGGGAAATCCCTGTGTGTCTCCCCTGTCTCTGCCCCCAGAGTACCTGGGGAGACGGCACGATTTAGTGGGCTCCTGACGCATCCACGTCAGGATTGGGATTAAGAGGGGTTTGTTTGTTATTGAACTTTGGTTGTAGAGAAAGCAAAAACCCTACCCCTTTGAGAAATTTGGCTCGGGTGGGAGTGGGGGCGGAGCCGGGCAGGGGGCGGATTCAACAGCCCAACTCCCCGGACGCGAGCAGGCCTCGAGCCCCCAAGCTTCCGTGCCCCCTCCGCCCTGAAACTTGGAGCAGGGTAGGGGTCCAGCATGAAGCCCCCGGACCGCCCCGCCCCTGGCCGCACGGACCGGATACTGGGGGTCATGGGGGGCATGCTGCGCGCATGCGCCCTCCCCGGGCAGGAGGGGGTAAGAAAGAGGGACCACGGTGAGGTTGGGAATCTTTTTAGGGGGCTTCAGGTGGTCTGCACCCTACAACTCAATTTACCAGCAAATAGGAATTCTGCAGGGCAGTCGCAGAAATCCTGAGTTCCAAAAGAGGGCCAAGGCCCTGGTCTGGGTGAACCCGTCCCTCCAACCCAGCCTAGGCGACCCTTTCACAACAATGTGGATTTGACAGGAGAAGAAGGAGAAGCGGGAGGTCAAGGCTGGGCGTGGAGGGCGGTTTCCTTACCACCAGTATTTCCCCACAGCCCCCGAAGGGAAGCCCCCTAGAGCCAGGAGGGACCGAGACAGAGTCTGACTGTACCGAGGGGGACCAGAAAGGGGAGCGCGAACGTGAGGTCCTCGCCTGGGCTCCGCTGCCCGGTAAGACGCTGGGGGTGGGGTGGGGCACGGTTTGCCCTCCTGCGCAAAGTGGCGAATTCAAATAATGCTGCTCTTATTAGCATAAAGGCTTGCATCTAATCTGCATGAGACCCATTTAATTGCCAAGACCTCCACGCTTCTCGCCCTCTAGTGCTCTGTGTGTCCCCCACATCAGCCGGCCCCGAGCCCCCACAGGCGGAGTGTCCCCGCGCCCCACCCCTGGCTCCTCGCCAGCCCGGGCTCCGGGACTTCGCCTTAATTGGTGATTAGCCTCAGCTGGAGTCCTGGGGCCTGGAGGAAAGAAGGCTCTGGCGAGAGGGCGGCACCTGGGCTGTGTTCCCCACAGAGCTCCCCATTCACGCGTCCCCAAAGGGCAGGGGGCTTGTCTACCCCTGCGCGGCTAGGGACAGTCCCAGCCCCCAGGACGTCTTCACACAGGCCCGGGCCCTTCCGTCCGCACCCTTCCCCATCACAGAGGCGGAGGGGCGACCTGGGCAGATCCCGCCGCGCGGCTTACCCCCGACCCCAGCGCTCCGCAATCGGGAGCGCGAGAGGCAGGAGGGAGGGGAACCCGGGGCGGGGATCCTAGGCTGGAGAGGAGAGGCGGAGGCGGTGGGGACGTGGAGTGGGAACGAGGTGGTGCCTGGGGGAGGGGGATTGGGGCTGGAGCCCGGCACAGGCTGAAGGGGGGAAACCAGAGGGAGAGGGCGGAGCTGGGCCGCAGAGGCCCCTCCCCGCGGCGGCACCGCGGCCGGGCCTGTTATTCCGCTCGCCGTTCGGCCGGGACCCGCGCAGCGCCAGTGACTCGGGGAGTCGACCCCCACCTCCTCCCTGCCCGGGCCTAGAACCACCCCAAACCCGAGAGGCCAGAGACGGAGCTGGAGCGGCTGCCGCATCCCGGCCCAGCTTCCCCCACCATCCCTCCCCGCCCCGCTGGACATCTGGACCCTGGGCCCCGCACCGACTGGGTTCCGGAAACCCTCCCCGCCCAGCTCGGCTGCCCGGCCTCGCGCCGCCCGCTCTGCAGAGCCCCCAGGCCTCCCCCAGACCAGACTTCCGCCTACCCCTGGACGCCCCTTCCCTGTTCCCTCCCTCCCCTCCTCCCCCAGCCTGGAGCGGGGTAGGAGGGAGGGGGGGTGTGCGCCCTGCGCCGTCCCCGCCCCGCCCCCCGTGATTCCCCCTGCATGGCCGGCCCGGGTGGGGGGTGCGGGGGGGCCCGGGCGCCATGCGGGGGGGGGCACAAGGGGGGTCGCTGTGCCTGTCCCCACGTGATTCGAAAAGTGCTGGCAAAATGCGGCTGCTGCTTCGCCCGGGGGGGTCGTGGTGAGTGCGAGGTCGCAAGGGCCCAGCGTTGAGTGGGGGGCGGGCTGAGGGTTCAGGGCGTCAGACTGACCTGGCCCTCGGGATTCAGAGGCTGGAGACTTGTACCTGTGTTTTCCAGGAAAGTGACTTAGTAGATCTCCAAGATCCTTTCTGCCTCCAAATTTTTAATCAGTTCAAGTTAAGGAAATTGGGGAAGGGGCAGGAAACTCTTCTCTCCATCTTGTAGTCAACTGGGTATGAGAAAAACCCATCCACAATCCCCCTGGGCCTACAACCGGATCTTCCTTAAATCTTTTTGCTGAGAATCTACAAGGATCTGAAGAGGGCCAGAGAGAAGGAGGAATGAGGATGAGGATCTACCTGGGGCTTTATGACAAATCTCTGATGCTCTGTTCCTGACCCAGGGCAAAGATAACCCTAATGAGCTCTCCTCACTTGCCTCCCCTCCCCAGTTGGGTTTGTGCATGTGTTGGGGAGATGGGCTGCAGAAGTCTTTTCTTTTTATAGTGATTACTGCAGTTGGTGCAGGAGGGGTCTGGGGGTGGCAGATGGCCTTTTAGCTCTCCCCCCCCCACCTTCTCAGGGAATGGTCTGTGCCTATTGGAAGGGGGCGGCTTGTAGGAGAGCAGATGGCCACCCCAGCTTCCCCTGTCTGCCCAGATGCCTGCCCAACCATATCTGCGGCGTGCTCTGGATATGGGGGAGCATCCACATAAAACTGGAGGTTCCAGGCTTTGGGAGCCCAGGTGTTTACTGTCCTCCCTCCCAAGGGTGCCAGGTGCAATTTTCTATCCTGGCCAAATCAAATGAGGATGACAAGAGAGTGGGCCCTGGGGGAGGGCTCAGCATTATGAAGAAGAACCTCTGGGAGCTCCCTAGGGCCCTGAATCTAGAGCTGGAGCAATATCTATGGCCCCTTTTCTTCCCCCACTCCCCATTAGAATCCTATTCCATTGCTGGCAGTGAGGGGAGTATCTCAGCTTCAGCTGCTTCGGGTCTGGCTGCCCCCTCTGGCCCCAGCTCTGGCCTCAGCTCTGGCCCCTGTTCCCCGGGCCCCCCAGGGCCAGTCAGTGGCCTGAGAAGATGGTTGGATCATTCCAAACATTGTCTCAGTGTGGAAACTGAGGCAGACGGTGGCCAGGCTGGACCATATGAGGTGAGCAGGGGGAACCACAAAAGCATGTAGGACAATCCATGAAGAACACTGGGAGAGAGGGCAGGTTGGGGGCCACTGGCTGCTGGGGAGATACAGCTACTGTCCATGACCTCTGACACTTGACCTCTGGCTCCCAGAACTGGATGCTGGAACCAGCTCTCACCACAGGAGAGGAGCTGCCAGAACTCACCCTGCTGACCACATTGTTGGAGGGTCCTGGAGATAAGACACAGGTATGAAGAAACAGGTCTGTATGGCTTCCCAAAAGCATCCGTGTGCTGACTCTAGGATGCTCTGTCCTTCCAGCCACCTGAGGAGGAAACTCTGTCCCAAGCCCCTGAGAGTGAGGAGGAACAGAAGAAGGCGGCTCTGGAAAGGAGTATGTAAGTGTCCCCACACACTCCCTCCCCTCTCCCCCACCTACCATTGTGCAACTTCCAGAGAACTGTCCCTCACATTTTAGATTTAATACTTGGAATTTCCTCTGAGGTTGGCTATGGTAATGAAGGGGCTTCTAGTCCAGGAGGGAGGTAGTGGCTAAACTAAGGATGTGCACTCCTGCTCTCTTCCCAGGTATGTCTTGAATGAACTGGTAGAGACAGAGAAAATGTACGTGGAGGACTTGGGGCAGATTGTGGAGGTAGCTCCCTTTTCTCTCCCCAGCCCTAGCCCAGGCCTTTTCCTCTGCTCAAGGCTAATTTTAGGGGATGCCTTAGTGCTCCTCTGTCCCATCTTCCCAGTCCCCTCTACATCCTGGACTTCTTGGGGGAGGGGTTTTCCCCCGTCAAGGCTGACCCCCCCTCACACTCATGCTCCCCCCCCAACCTTCTCATAGGGTTACATGGCCACCATGGCTGCTCAGGGGGTCCCGGAGAGTCTTCGAGGCCGTGACAGGATTGTGTTCGGGAACGTCCAGCAAATCTATGAGTGGCATCGAGAGTGAGTGGTGGATCCCCGAAAGCGAGGCGGAAGGGCATACCTCTGTTGTCTCTGTAACCTAGTCATGGGCCCGCAGTCTCCTGAGCAACATCTGGAGTGGCTTAATGGCCCGGCTAGGGTAGACAGTTCTCAGTTGAGTAGGGTGGGGGGTATTTGACCAGCCTTTTCCTCACCAACCCCTCCAGCTATTTCCTGGAGGAGCTACAGCGGTGTTTGAAGGATCCTGATTGGCTGGCTCAGCTCTTCATCAAACACGTGAGGCTTAAGGGGGCGGCCTCGAAGGGGCGGGGCTCGGAAGTGGGTCGGGGCTCCCCAGAAGTGTTCTCTCGCCTCACCGGTCCTGCTCTCCTTAAACTCGACCCCTGTTAGGAGCGCCGGCTGCATATGTACGTGGTGTACTGTCAGAATAAGCCCAAGTCAGAGCATGTGGTGTCAGAATTTGGGGACAGCTACTTTGAGGTCAGCGGCTGAGGTACCTTGGGGGAAGGGGGACAGAATCATCAGGCTCTCCAGGCTGCGTAACCACCCTGTCCTTGTCGCCAGGAGCTCCGGCAGCAGCTAGGGCACCGCCTGCAGCTCAGCGACCTGCTCATCAAACCAGTGCAGAGGATCATGAAATATCAGCTACTGCTCAAGGTCAGGACCACCTATTCCCTGGGGGTTCCGCTGGCTGGGACAGCCCTTGCCTGTCTC